CATTTGGCTGCCCTCAGGTCCTCCCTCCCTGGCAAGCAGAGGCTTGTGAGAGCACAGTGTTTCTGTGCAGAAACTACCAGTGGGCTTTGTCAGCAGAAAAAGTATCCTGGAAAATACTCTGAGGAGCTTGAGTTTGAGAGGTACGCATAAAACCAAGCAAGAGTGTGGTACTGGTCCTTCACTGGGGCAGAGAAGGGCACCCCCCTCTTAACCCACTTGGAGCCTGCGGCTTCTCGCTACGACTGCTGCCATCCCCAGCCTGGAATGTGCCAGGCTTGCTAAGTATAAGCTGACTCAGGCCAGCCTGCTGAAAAGCTGCTGCTTTTGTGCCTGCTCCCAATTGCAAACGGCTGCTGTAAATCCAGGGCTGATTTTCCTACTGTTTTGTAGGATGAAGTCACCCCTGTCTGGTCATACTCAAAGGTGCCGTCATCTGTCTGCTCTGTCCCAAGGCATGAGTCAAGGGAGGGCACGTGTACGTGATGCTGTGCGAGGTGCGTGTCCCTGCCCGCGCCTTGGATGCCCTCAGTGCCCACCACAGCATTCGGGGGGGGCAGTGTTACCTCAGCCTGCAGTGGGGTGTTTCTGAAGCCTGTAAGGAGCGTAACAGAGAGATTTCAGGTCCCTTCCCAGCTCCCTCTCCACCTGCCTGGGAGGAAACCGGCTGCAGATTTAGGGATTGTGAAGCCCCTGATTTGTGTGGCAGCCAGATGTGGCCGGGTGGGTCTGACGGACGTCCCTCACTGCAGAGCACTGCTTGTGACTTTTCTCACGTCGAGTCTTGCCTTAATAGAACAAACCCTGATGCCTACAGCTTGCGCACTTACAGGGGTGGACGGGATCTTGCAGGAGGTACAGCTGTGATTTATAGCGCCATATCAGGATGGCAGCGGGATGCTGCTTGGCTGGAAGTGAGAGATGGCTCCTCTCACACCTGCTCTGCTGCTGGTTGGATCCTCTGGTCTCAGATCTCTACTTTTGCTGACCTATTTTCATCTGCTGTGCCCAGCATACGGCTGAAGAAGTTGGGAGCTGGAGCAGCTGCTCTTCCTGGGGATTTTTCTCTTGCTGTAGGGCTGTGAGCCGCTGTCTCTGCCAGGTGAGCAGAGCAGGCAGTAGAATTTGCTTAACTCCATGTCAGAGACAAGAAACAGGTAGGTGTGCTTGGAGTCTGCTTTGCTGAGAAAAAAAAAAAAGCAAGCCATACCTGGGCACAGCTCAACCCACTGTGGATCAGCAGCACCATGGGAAGAACAGGGCTGTGTTTGCCTCCTAATAAATGGCTAAGACAAACCTCAGGCATGGAAGCAGGAGCTTCTGTCACAAAACTGCATGCTGCAGCATGTGTGTGTTGCATCCCCTGGGGAGTGGTGGCACAGGCCCCTGGGAGCCGCTGTGGCCAAGCACATCTGCTGGGCTTTCAAGGGAAGCTGTGCGGGGGGCCGGGGAGCCTCCCCTCCTCCTTGCTCCCCGCTGCAAGCCCAGCTGTCCCAGCTCCAGCAGTGGGTCTATAAATCATGCCTCCTCCCCAGGCAGCAGGGAGTTCCCCACAGAGGGGTACCCAGCACTGCCCAAATGGTGCTGCTGGAGCTTCCCAGGGACCCTGGGGTCTCCTCCGTCCTCCTGTGCAGGACATGGCCAAGGGGCGATGCCCAGGGCATCCCTATCCAGCAACGAGTGTGAAGCACAGCGGGAGCCGGTGGTGCGGCCCAGTGAGGGGCACGCGAAGAGGTTTTCCCCCCAGAGCCCTGGAGCCAGAGGTTGGGGAGCTCTGCCACAGGAGTGGGGCACCCTCAGAGCAGCCCCAGCTCAGGTGGTGAGGGGCTGTGGAGTCAGGCCTTACCCTAGCCCCCTCGCAGGGGCCGCTCTCCTCTGGAGACACACCAGACCATCTCCCAGCTATTAGCTGCCGTCTGGTTTCACCCCCCAATCCCCAGCTCAAGCCTTGCAGCATGGGTGGGAGGGGAGCCGTTTGCTGTGGGGTGCGGAGGGCACTCAGGGGGCAGCTGGTGAGCGCTGGAGGAGGCAGCACAGGCTGGTGGGTTGGGATGCGATCTGTGGGACCGAGGCCGTGGGCTGAGGCAAGTGTTTGGCATCCGCTGCCAGCCCCAACAGGGCCCAGCTGAACCGGCCAGCTGTGCCCACAGCCTGGCTCTTGCTGCCTGGCAGGTGCCTGGGGAGGCCCCAGCACGGAGGCCCCAGCAGCTCTGGGAATGGCTCCTTTTGCTTTAGCCAGGTGCACCCCAGTGCTGCTGCACGGAGGGAGACGTCCATCCTGCTGCTCACTGCAGCAGCTCGATGCTGCAGCATGCAAACAATGCGAGTGGCTCTGCAGTCCGGTTCCCAGTGTATGCTTGGGTTTTAAGTCAGGGCAAACCTTCACTCTTATTTTCTGGTTTAAGAAATAATCCCGTTCTCACCCTTGTCCTATTGTCTCCAGTTACAACTTATACAGAAACTTGCTGAAGCAACTAAGCTGGGTATAATTAATGTCTTCACTTTTTCAGTGCAGGTCTCTACAGGACCATGTTTATTGTGGATTTAATGCACCTGAAAACAAACATGGTTCGTATGCAGGAGGGCAACGTGTATTTATATATCTTTTTAAGCTGAGTGGAGTTGGGACTGTTAATCCTTTCTGACAGGGAGGTCACCCTTGAGAGCAGCGCCCCAGGAGGGCAGGCACCGAGGGCAGGCGCACAGAGCTGGGGGAGCTGTGCCAGCCGGTGGGGATGCCCTGCGCCGGTGGCTCCCCTGTCTGTGAGTGGCTCCTGAGCTCCTTGGCCTTGACATAAGCCCCTTTTCCATCCATGCTGCTTTCATCTTCCTCAGCTGCTTCTGGCTCTGATAAGGTCACTGCACTGAAGCCTGGAAACCATCTCCACCTCCAGATTTACTTCCAGTACCACAGTTGTTCCTCTCCTCTTTGCTGTTAATACACCCTCTGACAAGGCAAAACCCGCCACAGCAGGAGCTGTACCATCCCGAAAGGTCCCCATCAGGACCTGATTGTGACCGGTACTGTCCCCTTAGTGCTGCGTGACACTGGTGGCAGGAGGGGCGGCATCCGTACTGACCCTAGCACACCTGGGGTGTGTTTGTGGGCTCCTGCTTATGCGGGGAAGGGGACAGCCCTGGTGTGAGGATAATGCCCTTTCCCATAAAACTGCCCTTTGCAGGAGCTGCACGTGGGTCTAACCCCGGTGGCGGTGGCTGCGGGAGCGGGTGGCTTGGTGAGCTCAGTGAGGAGCCCTGCAGCTCCACGTGGCCAGCACGCGCAGAGGGCAGCACCGCAGGCAGCACTGCCTGCAGGCAGCGAACGAAGAGGGTGCGGGCGCTTGTCCTGCAGGAGGGCAGCTCAGTGTGATGAGCCACACAGCTCTCAGGGGGCCTGGAGAGGTGCAGGGGGCTCCCGAACTGGCCCACCTGGCAGAGAAGGCCAGGGCAAGGCACTGCCTGCTAGCCTGCTCCCTTGGTGCCACCGTGGTGTACCCACGGGTGCTGGGGTGGCTACAGATGGGGATGGTGGGGAGCTCAAGGTGAAACCTTTCCTTCTGTAGCCATTGGCTGTGGCATCCCTACCCCGGCATGTACTCCGCTGGTGCTGGGACTCCGGAGCCTGCCTCAGGGGTGACCAGAGAGCCGTGGGCTGTGTGGTGCAGCCGGCTGGTTCACAGCGCGCTACATGGCCAGGGGCTCATTTTCCTGTAGCGCTGATAAAAACAATGGTGCAGCAACCAGGAGCACTTCTTGGCATCCCTGTGAGTCGCTGGCACATCTCTGATGGCCAGGCCACCGCAGCTCTGCTTGCAGTCTCTCCACCTGCACCCTGTCGCCACAGGTTTGGCAGGGAGAGGGGTTTCTGGGATGTAGTGTAGGGCTGTGATTAGCACCAAACATGACATGCTGAAGCTTAAGTATCTATTTAAAATATGCCATATATTTGTTTTTAACGAGATGGTATGGAGCAGTTCATACAAAAAAAAGGAAAAATGGGTGCTCCCCACCCATTGTCCATAAAGCTCTGTGAGAAACGGCCCATGCCCACCAGCTGGGAATGCCAGGCTCAGGGCAGGAGACTGCTTACCCTGGGACAACCAAGGGCTGCTTCAATGAGCAGGGCAGCGCTGCTCCGAGGGGAAGAGTGCCTGTTTCTTAGCTGCGTCTGCAGTGAAACTACCAGCGGGGAACATACCCCCTCTTTTGGTGGCTCATACATAACCCCTTCCCAGAGGTAAGTCCACATCTAGACAAGAATCTGGATGCTGTGCTAGCAGTGTTAGGAGGGGTCTCCTCGGCCGAGCTGGCGTAGCTACTGCTAATTAGCCAAGCTGTGCTACTTCCCGTCGTCTGGTTGCCTGTTACATTAGTGCAGTTCAGGTTAGGCGCCATGTCCTGCCCCTGGGGTCCTGGTCGAGGACCACCCCAAGACCAGGAGGTGCTGCCTCCCTGCTGGGAACCTCTAAGGGCCCTGTTCTGGCAGGGCTGTGCCTGCACTGCTCTGATCCCGGGTGCTCAAAATCCCAGCGGCTCCCACTGAGGGACAGGCAGACAGCGTCCCCTACCCCTCCTGCTCTCCTAAGGCCAGATCTGCCCCACCAAGCCCTCTGCCTCCTGGGGCCAACTACCCCAAAGTGGCTCCGAGGGAGGTAGGGTGACGGTGAAATCCGAGTCATGCCAACAACCTCGGCCGTTCTGGCTGGAAGCTGATGGCCAGGAGGAGCAGCTCAGTAGGTGGTGTGCCAGGAGACGACCCTGCCGGTTCTTGCACAGCTCTTTGCCATGGGCTTTTGAGGAGGGAGCAGCTTCCACCATCGGCACCACGCTGGACCTTGAGGTGACGGATACAGGAGCTGTGCCGTGTCGTTAACGCCTTGTCTCCCCAGGGAGTTGCAGCGGGCGTCCCAGAACGGCCTGCGCCCCCATGTCCTCCCCTCCCGCCGGTGGCAGCCCCGTCTTCCTGGGTCTCTGCCACGTAAGGCGCGTTGTTGCAGGCAGCATCACCGCAGGAGCAGCGCCAGGGGCAGGAGGAGCAGCATCGGCGAGATGGAGACCTCAGCAGCGCCACCGCAGTCTTGGGCATTTTCCTGGGAGATGGGAGAGAAGGCATCAGCTTCTTACCACCAGGGTGGCTGCTGGCAGAGGGAAGAGAGCCCACTCTTTGCCTTTGGAAGGGGGAGAAATGCCTGTGGCCAAAAAGAAGGATCACCTGGGGCAAAGGAAGGGGCTGGTTTGATGTGCGTGGGCCACAGCGGCCACTTGCAAGCTAGGAAGCCATTCTCCTCCTCGGCTTTTGCCATGCTCTGCCTCACACCCTGAAACCCATCCCTCAGCCTCGAATGATGCAGCAGGAGTGGCTCCCGCCTGCATATCCCTCCTGCAGCTCCTTCTGGAGTCCTCTGCCTATGAGCGGGTCACTGTGCCTGCTCCTGGCCCCACAGGGCAGGGACAGGCCGCTGGGCTGCCTCGCATGCTGTGCGAAGGTGCCCGGACCCAACTCCTGCCAGCCCAGCAGGCGGGAGAGCTGCCTGCGGCTGCACCAAGCCTGGGTCACGTGGGCTGGTTACAGGAATTGGGGCTCTTCCAGCAGATGAACCCCCACGAAGAAACCCAGCCACCCTGTGATGTCTGAGCTCAAGGCCTTCCCACGTGTCACTAGTGTGACCGTCCGCCTGCTAGGAAGCCTCTTGGGGCGTCACGTGGCTGTGTCTGGGTCCAGCCAGCAGGATGGGCACACGATACACACACAACGCAGGGGTGCAGGAGGAGACGTGTACATGGGCGCAGGCATGCCCATGGTGAACCCCAGCCCTGTGCTCTCCCTCCCTCCCGCGCTGCCCCGGGGTACCTCGGGGTGAAATGCATGGCACGTGTCCGGCCGCCGCCTCAGCTTCTGGGACCGCATCCGTTCACACTTCACTGAAGCATTATGTGCGAGGCTGTTAAGGACGCTGGCAGCGGCAGGCAAAGAAAAGGGGGACGAGGGCCACACAGACCCAGAGGGCCCTGATGCAAGTTGTCTGCACAGCCTGGGAGGACAAGGGAAGGGCTGGTCACCCTGCATGGGCTGGAGACAGCTCCAAGCGCTAGAAGGGGGCAAGGAATGACGGGCAGACGAAAGTGGCCAAAAGGCATGGAGAGGGCTCAGCCTCATGGTGACAAGCCGCACCACGTCACTGCCCTTACGAGGAGTGAGGGATGAGGACCCAGCAGGGTTACAGAAGCACCTGGGAGCAGTGTTGGGGAGCCAGCCCAGCTGCGCTCATGCCACCACTGACCCTTTCTCCTGGCCTGTCCCACCCTCACCCTCGTACAGCGCATCTGACAGCCCGGCTTCCTCTTGGGCGGCTGGAGGGCAGGGCTGTTTTACCTCCTCTCCACCACAACACAACCCTGCCCGCTCCGTCTCTCTGTCTCTCCCTGGCTGTCCCACAGGTCAGACCGTGCCCTCCACCCCCATGGCAATTGCCCTGGGAGCAGGTTCTCCACCCTAGCAAACACGGAGACGAAAGGGCCTGTGGAGCTGTGCGTCCCTGTTGCGCGTGGAAGGATATATTTGACCTCTTTCGCATCCAGCAGGACAGGTGGGAAGATGCTGCAGTCGCATGTGGCATCTGTGACGAGGAGCAGGAGGTTACTGCTGGCGATCTGCTGCGCCACGAACATCCTGCGAAGAAAGGAGCGGGTGGGAGAAAGCACATCCCTCCCACTGCAAAGCCAGAGCAGCTGCCCTGGCACCACCTGGCCCACAGCAAAGAAATCCAAAGAAAACAGAGATCGTCGGAAACGGGATGTCAGCGGGAAGCAGGAGAGACACAGCGAGCAGCCGGGCGCACAGGGCGGTGGCGTTAGCACACCTTTTTGGCCTCAGGAAGCTCTGAACTGGCTCAGATTTACAACCCCACACTAGGCCCAAAAGCCAAAATCAAACCCAAAAAACCAAGTAAAAATGTCAACCAACAAACAAAACCTGACACAAGCCCTCCCCAAATAGAGCACTGTGTCACAGCAGACAGTACCTGAGAAGACCTGGTTTCATCCAGAGTTGTGCCGATGCCCATTCAATGTATATTTATACATATGCTTATAAAATGTGAGGATGTATGTACTGTGTGGTCCTGCAAGGGGCAGAGTTTTGCTAAATTTCATGTTACTGGAGTGAGAAATGGAGGATCCCAATAGCATCACACATTACATGGTGTGATGGGACTGAGCAACAGGTGCTTGGTCTTGCCTACTGGCACAGAAAACGTGCAGCTTTGCTGTGCAGCCACAAGTTCGCCTGCCCCTTCCCCTCCCCGTCGGCCAAGCAGACTACAGAACGGTCCGGTGACGAGCACAGGCACGTGCCGGTGAGGCTGTGTCTAGGTGTCAGCGTTTGCCTGAGGACGTGCACGTGAGGGCTCATGGAAGTGCCGCTGCCCGGTTGTGCCTGCCGGCAGTGGAGGGCTGGTGTCGGCAGAGCAGGATGAGGGCAGGCACGTGTTTCGGCAGTGTGCACGGTTTTGTTCATGAGTGTGTGTGCATGGGCAGCTCAGATGTGTCTCTGTGCTTACAAGGCTGTGTGCACCTGTGACTCTGGGTTTGCACACTGGCACGTGCCCATCTGCGGCCCCCCCCCCAGGTGAGCACGGGGGCGGCAGGGGGTGCGTGTCCAAGCGTATGCACGCCGGTGTCATTGCAAGGTGCTGTACGTGTCTGGGCATCTCACCAGCCTGCGCCACGCCCCCGCCCCATGCCTTGCAGTCATTGCCTGCCCTCTGCCAGCGCAGAGGCTGCAGCCAGCCGAAGCAAGGCTGAGCTGCCCACGCTGCCGTCCTCCACTGTCTGCATGCAGCCTGTGCTGCCGCTGGGCACCGAGCGGCCATACAGCCCTGGCAAGGAGCCTGCAGCCTGGGCTGGGGCTGCTGGGCACAGGGAAGGCCAGGGACGGTGGGCTTGGTGTGCCTGTGCTGGTGGCAGGGCCGCAACACTGCAGCTGGTACGTGGCTCTGTGCACTCCCGGTCCTGCTAACCACCTCTCAGCCCAGGAAGAGGACTTCTGGATTAGAAATACAGGTTTGTGAGGATGCACTCACTGCACCGACTGCCCTGTCTCCCTGGTTATTCACCACCTAGTCTTGCCGCCTTCTAGCCTCCAGGGCTTTCTGTATTCACTTTTAGAGGTGTTGAACGTCACACACTGCAGCTCGACCATTTCATTAGTATTCCTGGCTGATGACTGCTTTGGGAGCTTTGACAAGCAGATTTTAACCCACGCACAAATTCTGTAACCAGGATAGAGATGCCCCATGCACCAATCCACAAGCCAACTTTTTGCCCAAAATAAAGGACCCAGCCTATCCTCGCTCCGCTGGGAACCACTTGGGCTTGCAAAACGTGATGGGGAAAGCCTGCACGCCCCACTGGGCCACTCTCTAATGCTCCACAGAGCCTGTGTCGGGGCACATGTCTCTCCCGAACATGAAAGCTGCAAAAGAGACGGTGTGGGGCATCCAGAAGGTGCAATCCAGTCCTGCACCCGTAACTATGAAGAAGCTGAGCAGGATGCAGGGGCTGCTGCTGCTGGAGCTGGCAAGGTGCTGCCTTCCCCCCTTGTACTATCAGGCAGTGACTCAAGCAGTAGGAGACACAGGGTTTAGGCTCATCACCCTGAGATCATTCAACCCCCTCCCCATCTCCCACCACTCCGGGGGTTGCTGTAACCACCACAGTACAAAATACCCATGGTGGAAACCTCTTCCAGCTGTCCCAGGGAGGGTGGGTGGGTGAGCGCCAGGCTCCATCAAGGAGGGGTCAGCCTTGGGCTGCGCTGGTGGTGGAGATCTCTGCAGCAATGGCTTAACGCACAAACAGGTTGCTTTGGGGCGCTCAGCTGCTCCAGATCCACCCAGAGTTTATTGCACCTACACAATATACCTTGTTGTCACCAAATTGCAATCTCTTCTAAAACAATGTTTGGCAAGGCCTGGTTTTCCTGAAGTCATGCTGACTAGCACAGGCTGTTTTCCTAACCTTTAAGTCTTTCCTGCAGTTGGTCCAAGACTGAAGTTAGGCTAGGTAGGATTTTTTTTTTTTTTAAGAAGGATTCCAGTCAGATCTGTTTGGACGCCTCATGTTAGGAAAAGCTGGACCAGTGGAAATTCATTCCTCTGTCACCTTTCCACAAGTCATTGCTGATGGTGCTATGCAACTGTTGAAAATGGCCTCTTTTCACAATGATTTTTCTGTTATTTTGGACTGTTCATTCTCTTAAAATGAAAACGGAAAGTAAAAAAGTGGACCTGTGTTTTCATTTCTTTCAGTTTAACACTTCTTTTTTTTCCCCCCTTCTGCTTTTTCTTTTCTGTAGAAAAACAGAAAAGAGAGAAAATATTAAAAGGAAAAGGAAAGCCGAAAGCATTGCAAAAAGGAAAATTTTCTAAGGAGAAAACTTTTGCCAGAAACGTGAAAAAACAGAAAAAGTTCCTTTCTGAAATCTGTGGAATAGAAAGATAT